ATAAGTTTTTTACTAATAACAAACAATTGAAATCACAACAATTAAAGTCTTGCTTTAATTGTTGTGATTTCATTTTTGAAATTTGGAATAATAATGAGTTTAAAAGTATAAAACCTATTATTAAACCAATTTGTATTGCTTTAATGGTTAACAACTCAAAATATTCGGAAATAGAAAAACTATCAAGTGGATAACTAATAAGTTATCGAAAGAATAAAAAGATTAACTGTTCAAAAAAGCATAACTTTATTATGTTTTTGCATTGCTCATCCTGTTTGTATTTATTATATGGTGCATTTCTGGTTACTTTGGCGTGTATTTCTGTGTGTTTTTTATATTGTTGTCTAATTCAATGTTTGCTTTATACTGTCGTGTATTTGTGAGCATTGTTTATATTGGCGTGCTCTTTTGTGTATTTTATACATTATTTTTGATGGTGTTTTGCTAATTATATTTTCATTTGTTGATTATATTTTAAGTGATTTCATAATTTTTGTCTCATCCTTATATTTAAATATATATCTTTTTGTTTTATTTTTTATTTTTTATTTTATCATCCTTTTGATAATATTGAAGTGATAATGAGTGAATGAGATAACACAACGTTTACATAGGTAAACGTTGTGTTATCTCATTCACTCATTATTTATCATGTCATCTCATACACTCTTTCCCATTTTTTCTGTAATTAATCTTACTTTTTTAAACTTTATCACAAGGCCGGTGACACCAAAAGGAGAAGGAAAGGGACACGAGGCATGTGCTGTCTTACTCTTTTAGTTAAAAAGACCTCTTTTTTGAGAAACTTCTAAATATAGATGACCTTTTTTAGAAATGGTAATTGTGCGCACTACTTCCAAAACCGCGTTGTCAGCCCTCGCATTGTTATCGCTCTTCTTTTTATTGATTTTATTGTACTTTTTAGTTTACCATTTTTTTAATGTATAACTCCTTTGACTAGTTTTTAACAATGAGTGTCGCAAAACCTTTTTTTTTTTAAAGTATAATTAGTAAGTCAATAAAAAAATATTAGTTTCTGGAAACCAATGATATGTTTTATTTAGACGCAAAACTGACATTAACTATTTTTTAAGGAGTTTAGTACATGTTTTTATGTTTAGTACACGTTTTTTCAACGTAAGAAAAAGCCGTTTTTCGATTAGGCAAATTGATTTATTTAAGTAAACGCTATACAAATTAACATATCTTTAAATCAACCAAGTGTTTGTAGTTTTTTCTTGTAAAATTAAATTTGAAAATATATTTGAGTATTTTTAGTTTAAAGGTGTTTGCCTTCGTTGAAACTTGGTTGTGTTTATATTTCTACTTGAATCAAGTAGATATGATTAATAAAGTTTTGATGGTGTGGTTTACTAGATTTATTTACTTTATTACTAAAATAACTTAATGGTTAAGTAAACTTGATTGCTGTAGAAACTAGACTAAGTTTAATTCTACTTGATTATCAACTGCTTTTAATGTAAAAAAATTAATTTGAATTTGAGAAAAGGGAACAACATTCTTAGAGTTTTTCTTCTTTAACTCTAAAAATAAAAAATGATAACATCAGTGGTTTTGATAGAGGAATTACTATAGTTTAAAAGGCTGAAAGAAACAAATATGATGATTTGTTTCAAGAAAGTGAGTGATCTAATGTATAATGTCATTTTAAGATTTTTAATCTTTACCGATATTCTGGTGGTATTACCAAATAATTGGCAGTATGTAACCTTTAATATTATTAACCCTATTATATACCCTACTTTACTTATAAAATTAATAATTTGTAAAGTAGTTTGTAAAAAAACTTTAATTGTAAATTTGCTACTTGATGAAACAAGTTGCTAGATGAAATTCAAACATTCTCTATAATTGTGTTCTGTAGGTCTATAATAAATAAAGATGATATTGATTGTGATGACCAAAAGATTTGTTTTAAAACACATCAATCTTTATCACCTTTAAATAAAAAGAATAAATATAATGGATTTCCATTATCTTAAGCAAGTAAGTCTTTTATTAAAAATAATAATGTAATGTTTGTTGTAAAATGAAACATTTCTGTCAATATTAGCTCAGATATTTGTATACCATATGAGAAAACAGACCAGTAAAGTTGTTAAATTATTAAATTTATGTATTTTAAATTTATTTATTTACGTAGTTTTGTTAAGACCATTTAAAATTTAATTATCATAAATTTGTTTAGACTTTCGATATCGTTTGTTGCTTCTTTCAAATGAGATAAAAAACCCAAGGATGCAGAAAACTTAATATAAAATAGCGTGAAGAAGAAGTACTAACTGAAATAAACAGCCTAACAGAGTTTGATAAGTTTGATTCAACACTTGATAATGTTTCATCAAGTAACTCAGTCGTAACTTGCTAAATACTGATTTGACAGATTTTTTCTTTTTTAGTACTAAAGTTTTTAATATTAAGTTAGAAACTGTCCATTTTTCCATTATTTCTTTCTATTAAAAAAAAAGAGTTTAAAATATTGGTCGTAAGAATTATCAAAAACTTGTGATAGCTATAATGAATAGGTTAGTAAATTAAAAAAACATTCCCATAAATACTCTGTTTAAGTTTACAATGATATTACTACCATCTTACAATCCATGATACAAATCACATACATGGCTCTACCTAAGCTGTTTCACCATAACGGGACGACTGAATAAGAGTGAATTTCATAAGTGCAAATTAGCGTTAGTGCAAATTCGCTTAAGTGCAAACTAGCACAAGTGCGAAGCAGTTACAAAAACTGGCACAATTCCAAATGGCATTAGTAAAAATGGACATAAGTGCGCAAAAAGAATTTCCAAACATTTGCATAAGGGCAAACTGCCATAAATGCGAACTGGCATAAAAGTGAAATGGTATAATTGCGAATTGGCATAAGTGCGAAGCAGTTATTAAAAAAGTTATAGAAACTGGCATAAGTGCGAACTGGTATATGTACAAATTAGCATAACTAAATGAATAGATTTACAAGCATTGGCATATGTGTGAACTGCCATAAATGCGAACTGGTATAACTGCGAAGCAGTTGCAAAAACTGGCAAAAGTGCAAATCGACATAAATGCGAACAGACATAAGTATGTCAAATAAATTTGAAAACATTGGCATAAGTGCAAAATGCCAATATGCACTTATGCCAATGTTTGCAAACTTATTACGCGTACTTATCTCAGTTCGCACTTTTACCAGTTTTTGTAACTGTTTTGTACTTATTCAAGTTCGCACTAATGCCAATTCGTACTCATCCAATGTTTGCAAACTTGTTTGACGCGCTTATGCCAATTCACACTTATGCCAGTTTGCAAGTTTAAAGCTATAGGTTATCCTATAGCTTTTTTTAAAACTAAAAAAAAAAATTTTTTTTTTTCTAAGTAAAAGCCGTCTTTGACCCGTATTTAGCAAAACCCGTCTTTAACGAAACGGAGGTTTTAGGTATATTTATGCTAATATTTTTTTTCCAAAACTTTTTTAAATAAAATCATTAATCACAAAACAAATTTTTTTTTTTTCTTTTTTCCAGTCCAAAGGTTGATATGGTTTGAAAAAAAAAAAAAAAACATTAGGACCAGTCAAGAATTTAGAACCCAGTCAAGAATTTAGAATGTATATATATATATATATATATATATATATATATATATATATATATATATATATATATATATATACATATATATATATATATATTTATATATATATATATATATATATATATATATATATATATATATATATATATATATATATATATATATATATATTATATATATATATAACATATATATATATATATATATATATATATATATATATACATATATATATATATATATATATATATATATATATATATATATATATATATATATATATATATATATATTTAAAATACTTTTTATTTATGTATCTTATAAAATTATATATACATATATATATATATATATATATATATATATATATATATATATATATATATATATATATATATATATATATATATTATATATATATATATATATATATATATATATTATATATATATATATAATATATATATATATATATATATAAATAATATTTATATATATATATATATAATATATATATATATAAATATATATATATATTATATATATTATATATATTATATATATATATATATATATATATATATATATATATATATATATATATATATATATATATATATATATATATATATATAATATATATATTATTTAATGAAAACATATATTCGTAATTTGTAATTTAAAAACTTATTAATTGTATGTTTTAATTTTAAACTGTATATAATTCGTGCTTGCTGGGAATATTTAGGCTTTGGTTATATATATAAAACTATATATAATTTGTTTTTAACTTAAACAGTAATTTGTGTTTTTTTCTACAACTAAACCAAAGTTTTAAATGAAACAGTATATTAAACATGGCATTGAAATTGAAAAAAAAATCTAATTCCAAAAAAAAAAAAGGAATATTTTTCTGTGTTATAAGTTATGATAAAAATCATAATAGAAAGCATATTATTCCCTATTACAATATTTATTATGCAAATAAATGTAACACGCAATACAAACAAATGTAGCATAAAATAATAAATGAATAACTGCAGTATACAAAGAACCAATGGCGGATTAAGACTTCTTGGGGCCCTGGGCTATTTTTGTTTTTGGAGGCCTTTTTATGGTCCAGAACCTAAAAATAACTTAAAAAAAATAAAAAAAATAAAAAAGTTATCTAAATTTTTTGGGGGCCCCTAAATTTGCGGGGCCCGGGGCTAAAGTCCCCTCTAGTTCCCCCCCCCCCACCTTCCTTGATCCGGCACTGCAAAGAACTGTAACACATTTTTATTTTTATTCTTTACTTTGTAGAAAAAAAATTTATTTTCATAATTTCAATACATATTTAATACATATGCTTACATATTTTTGTAAATGTTAGTAAATATACTTACATACTGCGCAGAGAGCAAAAAAATAACTGAGTGTGGCAACGGATCCATTTCTTTATTATACAACAACCAAAAGAAGAACTTTTTGAAATAATTCATACTTCTTTTTAATATTGTAAATTAAATTTCTTGAGCCAAATAAATCAATTACATATTTATATCGATATGTAAAAATTTCATTAAACATTGAGTTCAACTATTTATAATTTATTAAATTTTTACAAAAATTATTCTAAATTTACATAAATTTTTTGTTTCATAAAAATAATTTTATAACTTTTATAAAAATTGTTACGTAAAATGTTTGCTCATATAAAATATATAAATCTACTCTGTTACTTTTATAACTTTTAAGAACATTGTTGAGACAAAATCAAAAAACCAATGTTTTGTATTTGACAATAAAAAAAATACAGTAAAACACCAAATGTTTGTCTAACTACCGCATTCAAATATTGACATAAATCTAGCATTAATATATTTTTCCTCGTCTAAAATAAACTATTTACCTGTCTCACGGCAGATCAGAATTATTTCAACTGAATATTTTGACCTATATTTGCATAGTGTTGTTTAACATCAACTACAAAATGCTTATTACTAATTAATACCCTTATCAAACTGGTTATGTAATGCCGATTTCAAATCTTTCTGTTTATTTTGCGCATCTAGATTTTTTATTTGTAATGTATAATTTATTTAATTTTTTAAATATATTTAATATTTTTGATAACATCTTCATTCAATATTTCTAAAAAAAGTTTATTGTAAAAATATTTTTTTAGGCCTAACTAAACGCACCAAATCAAAATAACTAAAATAATGTTTTAACTCATTCTTATATATTTGCTTTTTTGTCAAAAACAAAACTAAGTTTAATAATTAGCATATCGAAGTTATTCGGTTTTCAGAGTTCAAATTTCGATAAGAAAAAACAATTTGCCTGATTGAAATAATTTTTAATGCGATCTACAATTGTACAATTAAAAAAAAGATGGTACAATTAAATAAAAAGAGGGTTTATATATATCTTTTTTTCAATGACAATAAAAATATTTTATCAAATCTCATAAAATTTTGAAAATCAGCTATTTAATAAAAAAATATTGTTACACACCTGACAATATAATTTATATAGAAGCGAGAAAAAAAAATTTTAAACATCTTCATTGTGCAAAATTTTTAAATACAAAATATCCCGAAAAAAGAAATGCATATTTGAAAATGTCTCGTTATACTGAAAACGCATCTCGATAAACGTTATTCGATATGCGATATAACTTGCGAATATATATTGCAATATATATTGTGAATATATATTGCGATATATATTGCGTATATATATTTATTATTATTATTTTGTTTTCTTCAGTAAAAATTTAACTACAAAACTGAAAGAGAATAATACCCAATTAAAGGTGTCTTCCTCATTCCCTATAATTCAGAAAATAAATAAAAAGAAACTTTTAAGAAAAAAATTCTGCACAACCTAAAGTTACGTTACGAGCAGAAAGATTTTTTGTTTGATTCTAAAATGTTTTAGCGCTTAAAATCAAATCCGAATCTTTCAATCGATTAACTTCGATTGCAATTTTATTAGTTGCGTGTTTTGCCAATGCGGAACTCTTTATGTTCAAAAAAGCAATTCTTTTTTTGCTTCTTAGCAATTTTGGATTTCCAATCCATCTACAATCATTAACCAATGATACTGGGAAAAGGCCGGTACATAACTTCCATGCTTGAGCTATTATCGCTATTTGATATTTATGATTAAACGAAAGCAACTTCCATTTTTTTAGGATAGGTCATGCGTTAGTCTTAATAAGGCCAATAATCCGTAAAGCTCTCTCTTGTTGACAAATAAGTTTCGTAACATTTTTAGAGTCACTGTTCCCCCAGATTTCAACACCGTAAGTCAAATGACTTCTAATCAACGCATTATACAAAAGAACTTTAGATTTGCACGGCAACAGTTTATTAAATCTTCTTAACAGGTAAATGCCTTTGCTTATTTTCTTTGACACATGAATTAAATGATAATGCCACTTTAATTTGTTGTCCCAAAGGATACCCAAAATGCTAACATTATAAAAATAAAAGCGTTAGCTTTTATTTTTATAATGTTATTTTTATTATTTTCACCACATTGAGTAACCTTAAGTCCTTGCAACTTTACTTCTACTTTTTTTTTTGTTACAAAAAATCATTATTTTTGTTTATTAAGTTTAAGTCCGTTTGCTACAAACTAATTACTGACTTTCTCCAATTTTTTGCAGCATAATTCTTGTAACTCTTCAATAGAGTCAGCCTTTGCTACCATTGTTGTATCATCAGCAAAAAAATAGTTGTCAAGTTTTTTGCACCCGGATGATCATAAATAAAAATTTTAAAAAGCAAAGGACCCAAACATGTTCCATGACCAACTCCTAACTTTGTAAGTCTTTCTTTAGATGTGTTATTTCCAATAACAACTACCTGCCTCCTGTCAGCTAAATATGAAGAAACTATTTTTAAAGTTTTTTCATCTGCACCTATGTTTTTAAGTTTGTTATAATGAGTGGCATGCACGCAACTGTCGAAAGCTTTTTTTACATCAATTAATATGTCTGCTACAATTTTTTTTTTTGGTTTCTATTACTCGTTATTTTATTGAGAAGTTTCAAGTTTGCATGGATTGAATTGCATTCCTTTTTGAAGCCAAATTGATTTATCTGAATGATTCCGTTATCCTCAAGATTTATATCGATTTGATGTAGCACAGATTTTTTTAAATAATTTTGATAATGCTGGTAATACACTTATCGGTCTTTAATTATCCACAACAGTTTTATTTCCTTCTTTATAAACAGATTTTATCTTTGCTAGTTCCATATCTTCGGGAAAATAACCAGTACTAATTGATTCATTGATTTTCGTCAAAAAATTTGTGCATCCTGATAAGCAATATTAAAATAACTAGTTAGTAAATAGGTTAAAACCACAACTACTTTTAGAAACTAAATTATTAAGAACTTGCATAATTAACTCATTAGATACTTTAAGTTTCAAGTAAAATCGTGAGGCGGAAGATATTTGTAAGGGTTCACAATAATAAAGTTGCTTGGTCTTTGCTCAAGTGAAGCATCTGTAAAGTGGTCTATAAATATGTTAGCTATTTCAAGTTCTGATTCAATTAATAAGTTATTTTTTTCAAGTTTTATCTATTCATCATTACAAAATCTTTGAAAAGCTTAGTTAAGAACAATCCACGTTTTCTTACTGTCCCCTTTAAAATTTATCAGCTGTTGCTCAAAGAGGTTTTTTTTTGAATATAGATATTTTTTTTATATATCTTTTCTTATTTTGAACTAAGGTATGCTTTAAGTCATGTCTTCAGTTACTACCTTTAGAGCTTAAATTTGCTATAAACTTTCTCGATTCAAGCAATTCTCTGTTCATCTACTCTTTTTTTGGTAAAAATCTCCGATTATTTGACCTTGTTTTTACTGGCGGTGCTATGTCTAACTTGACCTGGATTTTGTTAACAAACTTTTTGTAACTTGTCTCAATGCTATCATTTGTGTAGTCATTGTCTAACTTTGTCTTAATTAAATTATAAATTTCCGCATTTAGTTTCCTAAACCTCATAATCAAAACCTACTAATCAAAAACCTTCGAATCAAAACATGATCAAGGCATTTACCTGAAATTAATCTAGTTGGTCTATACGTAATATTTATGAGATTGTACTCTTTTAGGATATTCACGTAATCCAGAGAAGTTATTGAATTAAATAAGTCGATGTTAAAATTACCGCAGAATATTGTGTTTATACTATTTTCTAAAATAATTTTTTCAATCAACCTAAGTTTCTCTAACTCTAGTCCGCCAGTAGGCTTATAAATGTTAACAATTTTTCAATAGATTCAACTGTTTTTTCATAGAAGCCAGTATTAATTACTTCAAAATTAATCCCGATTTTAACATAAGCTGCAGTTCCACCACCTCTTGAAATTCTTTGGAATAAAACTGGGCCAGTAAAATTATCTAGTTTATAGTCTATAAAATTTTTAGTTTGTCACACGTCTTGCAAAATAATTACATTGGCATTAACGCTATCGTAAACCAAAATCTTTAATAATTTAAAATTTCTACTAAGACTGCATATAAATACAGTAGCATTGTAAGTGACTTAATTTCTTTGTTTTCTTCTTTATCTTAACAAACTCAAAGATACTTTTATTAATCTCACAATAACTATTCTCTAACTGCTATTGCTAAGATAATTTGACCACTTTCTTCTTGTGTATTCCATAATAAATACACGTGCCCGTGTTTGCTGTGTTTTTAGACTTACATTCTTCCCTAAGCTGTTTAGATAAAACTCTTTCCCATTCAGATAGATCAACATTTAAATAAACGTTTTTGTACTTTTCAAAATTTTTTAGCTTTCTTGCACATTTTAATACTTGACTTTTATCGACACGACTTTCCAACTCTACAACAATCGGTGCATGGTTAGCATTTTTTTTTTTTTTTTTTAATTTTACATTTGTTGGTCGTATTACAACTATACATTGCCAAAAAAAAAATAATGATAATAATAACAAACTTTCACAAATATAAAATAAGGTATCTGAAAGAAGATCAAAGAATCTTGTCGTCAGAACCTTAAATAAGTTCAAACAAGCATTAACAGTATTATATAATCTAAACAAGCATTAACAATATTATATAATCCAAAGAGAGATCACGCGGATCTACTCACCAATATTTTATATAAACGTATACGTTAAGTAAAGAATATAAAAAATCAACAAAATAAGTAAGAATAAACTTTTTACAATTATAAATACGAAAAGGCAAAGTTATTAGTTCATATTATTGATAATAACATAATGCGTCATCTAATGAAAAAATTAGGGTTTTTAATTTACTTTTAAAAAAACGAAAAGTAATGGGTAGTTCGAAGTCAAAATTGGGCAAAACAATTTTATTCCAAAGGTGTGGTGCCCGATAGGCAATACAAAATTGATTAAAGTTCGTTTAGCAGAAAGGTTCTTTTAAAAAATCAGTTTTTCTCAAATTGACAGATTGACTAGTCATCTCAAAAAGACAGATTGAGACAAGTCTTTTTTCCATATGTATACAAAGCATAAAATATTATA